AATGACACTGAGCTGATTTTACAATAGGTTTAAACAGATGTTAGTATGGCTCAACACCATAAGCTGAGGTGATTTTCTTTTAAAATTTTGGCATAGGGTTAGTAATTAACCCTTTAAATGTGTGTGTGTATATAATTTTTAGAAATTATTGGCCTAGAAAAGCACTGATTAGCAAAAAGTAACTGAAGAGGTGAAGCATTAGTTTTGGTCTTGGTGCACAGTTGTCAGCTGAAGGAAAAGCACATTTTCCTTTAAGCATAATCAAGTACTACTTTCAGTGCTCTTGCCTTGGACCATTTGCTTGTCATAACAAACTCCTCATGTACAATCTCAGTCTAAGTTCCTGTGGTTTTATTACCATTTTTTAAACAAAATTGAAACCTAGGTATCGTGCATCTACCTGTCAATGTGTCTAGTGTTACTTACATGCCCCAAATAAAAAAGAAGAAAACCTCTGAACTTTCCATGCTCAGACCTGCACTTTAACTACGTGGCTACCAAGGTTTCAGTTCAGTAGCTTGGGCTTAGCAAGTTTCAGCTTACTACAACTATCATTAAAAGAAATTCAATTTTCTAAGTCAATAATATATTAAGATTCTATACAAAGACTGAAAAACTGAAAGCAGCTTGATTTTCTTTGGTTGTAGCTTTTATTTAATTAGAAATTGCATGAGTAAAGAAGTACTCTTCTCTGCAGTCTTCTCATAGTGAATATAAGAAAATACTTGAATTTTCAAAATAGAGGAGGGTGCTGAGGATAGTTTTATAATAAATTGCAATTTAAACAATAAAAGGAGAGGAGTTGACATTATCCCAGTATTAGCCTCTAAAAGATGATCAGCTGTTACAATTTCCCCCGTTTTCTGTCTCACCTTCAGGACTTCAGGCCTGAAATGTGTTTTCCTGGGCATGAAACCTGTAGAGCATAACAGGAGTGTGCCTTGGATGGCTGCTCTCCCTGTCCCCACCACAGGCATGTGCCATGCCTTGGCAAGGTGAAGCTCTTTCACTCTTGTTTTTCCCCCTTGGTAATGTGGGAATAATGTCTCCTGTTTTCTCTTACAAAACAGAGACTCCAAGTATTCATGTGCTCTGTTGGAAAGAGACCTCTGATAGCTGTGAGATTATTTGATCCATAATTATAAAATGTTAGGGTTTCTTCCCAACATTAAATACCTGAAATTTTTCATGTAGTAATTTTAGCCCTTTTCCTTATTTTGCTTTACCAAGTATGCTGTCTATACATTTTACTGCTGCTTCCGACACACAGGGGCAAGATAACTAATTTTTTATGTCAGATACAGCTATTGGAAATAGAAATATGTGCTTAATGGCTGCAGCTCAACTAAGGTTAGTGCATTGTCTTTGCACTGCAGCTGAATCCTAATGACAGTGTCCAAAACTGGCACAGTAAACCAGTTTTAGGTGTCCTCATTTAATGGATGGGGAAAGAGTCTGGAATATTTTTAGTCAAACGTTTCTGGATCTAGATGTCACCTTATTTCTGCAATCCACAGCAAGGCTTGGAAAGCTGCATTCAGACAACTTTGTTTCCAAGTGCAAAACAAAGATCTTTCTCTCCTCTTCTGACCCACACCTATGTCAGCTGCAATATTATCAGATCTATTATCAGATCACCTGGTGCAGTTCAGGAAAATATAGGGTGATACGTTTTAATTTTATTCTCCCAGAGGATGCACAGGTACATAAATTCACACCTGCTTACCCCACGGATGCAGGAACCACACTGGCATTTTCAGTGTCAGGATTCTTCCTTTATATACTTTGGATTCAATTTAAGACCTGTGTGGAGGTAGAAAGCTGAATGTGTGCACAAGGCACCACCACAGCTGACCCAGCCCTGCTATGTTGAACAGGGCAGTTTTTAACAAAGCAACATGGAGAAAGGCAGGGATGTGTTTTCAGACTACAGATGGCACAGCAATGACTCCTGAGCAAATTCTTCCAAGGAGTATATAGTGCACAACCACAAAGGGAATTTGGGGATTTGGGGAAATTGCCAAACACATAATTTCATCATTTATCTGTAGGCATAGAAGTGGGGTTTTTGAGCTTTAAAAGCCCAGACCAGAGAGGGAGTATATTTGCATGGTTCATTTCTCATAACCAGTGCTTTGGGAGTCATACAAGGTGCTTAATTATTCATATATTAAATGTATGTTTGGAATTGATTTAGCATCTTGGCTAAATCAATTTTTATATAAAGTGTTAAGTCTCCTTTGGGATTTTTCAAAAAATGGAAAAGTCATCCCTCCCATTCTTCAACACTCACCATGTAGTCAATTACCCAAAAGGAGGGATTGTAATCATTTCTTACAAAAGAGAAACTTTTGTAAGAAATGAGCCTCCTCAGGTAGAGCATGAGCTGAACAAATCCTTGTGCTCTCTACAGCACTGGTTCAATTCCCACCATTCTCCCCCGAGCACAGAGCACCCAGCAGGACCAGGGCCTGAGGAGCAGCCCTGCACCTGGCAGGGCTGAGATGGGTTCCCTGCTGCTCTCAGGAGCCCCAGCCCATCCTTCTGAACGCAGGTCCCATGGCAGAGTGGCTGGAAGGAAAAGTGAGCAGTAATTCTGCTTCTTCTGTGTCACCTTCCATAGCAGAGCAGGGCCTCAGGAGGAAGGTGCTGTCCCCGGGAGCAGAGCAAAACTCCTCAGCCCTCCTTGGAAATTCTGGTAGAGGAGTAGTTGAAGACCAGAAAATGTCAAGACTTCAGAGACTTGAAATAAGGATCTGAATGCTTAGATCTTTTCCTCAGTTTGGAAAAAACCCAACAAACTTGGATTTTGTTTTAATTGCTATTTACTAGGGTTAAAGTTAAAACACTCTGATAAGAGTTAAAACAGCAACAGACTAATAAACCTGGAGGAGGAGGGTTAAGGAAGGGTTTAAATTTCTTTCTGATTTGGGGATGTGTGGTTTGTTGGGGTTTCTTTAGCCACAGAAGGCTCCAGTGATGCTCGGGTAGATCAGGCTGAGGGCAGCGGGAAGTGCAGCTCTGTCCCTGCTCTGCCCCTGAGGCCCCACATGCAGAGCTGTGCCCGGCCGTGCCCAGCAGCAGCAGCAGGATGTACCTGTGGAGCTGTGCCCAGCAGTGCCCAGCAGCAGGATGTGCCTGTGGAGCTATGCCCAGCAGTGCCCAGCAGCAGGATGGGCCTGTGGAGCTGTGCCCAGCAGTGCCCAGCAGCAGGATGGGCCTGTGGAGCTGTGCCCAGCAGCAGCAGCAGGATGTGGCTGTGGAGCCGTGCCCAGCAGCAGGATGGGCCTGTGGAGCCGTGCTCAGCAGTGCCCAGCAGCAGCAGCAGGATGTGCCTGTGGAGCTGTGCCCAGCAGCAGGATGGGCCTGTGGAGCCATGCCCAGCAGTGCCCAGCAGCAGGATGGGCCTGTGGAGCTGTGCCCAGCAGTAGGATGGGCCTGTGGAGCTGCGCCCAGCAGTGCCCAGCAGCAGGATGGGCCTGTGGAGTGGGGCTGGAGGAGGCCGTGGGGATGTGTGCAGGCCTGGAGCAGCCATGCTCTGCAACCAGGCTGGGAGAGCCGGGGCTGTCCAGCCTGGGGAGGAGCAGGGGCCGGGGAGGCCTCACTGAGGCCTTGCAGTGTCCAAAGTGGGGAGAGAGTGATGGGGAAGGGGAGGGGCTTTAGATCAGAAGGGGGAGATTGGGATCAGATGTTCAGAAGAGCTGTGAGGGCAGTGAGACATTGGGACAGGCTGCCCAGAGAAACTGTGGATGCCCTGGAACTTTCCAGGCCAGGCTGGGCAGGGCCCTGAGCACCCTGATCTGGTGGATGGCAGCAGCAGCAGGTGATGGTGGAGGTGCCTCCATGGCGCTCTGGAACTCCATGGGTGGGCAGAGCAGACACCCGTTACCCAGGCATGGAATGTTGCCCCTGGTTGCCAGGGGCACTCCCGCTCCCAAGGTTCTGTTGGCATGGACTCTGTTGAGCCAGTTGACGGATTCTCTGCTGCGCAGCAGACGTGGGGCATCCGTCTTCTCCATCCCGGCTGGGAATAGAGAGCGAATTGCTGACATTTGCGAGCCAAACTCTGCACTGACTGTACAGGTGAGGACAGGCGATTCTTGGCAAGGCTTCGGATGCTCAGGGGCTGGGCTGGGCTGCAGGATGGGTGGATGGGCTGCAGGTGGGCTC